GAATTCTGAAAAACAGTTTTTTTAACTTGAGAACTTTCTTTGAAAATTGTCTTCTTTTTACAGGAAAGTTGCTTCCCCAAGCGACAATTCAAAGAAAGGAACAGATCGGAGTTAAGCAAAAAAATTCTCACCACCAGCCAAACCAAATGAAAGTTTTTCATTTTGCAGGTAGGCCAAACACAGCGGCAGCTCTAGGCACCAGCGCAGCAAGCACGTGCCTGGGGCGACAAGCCGCGGGGGGCGGTCCGCCGGTCCCTGCGAGGGCAGCAATCAGGCAGCCTTCGGCAGCTTGCCTGCGGGAGGTCCGCCAGTCCCGAGGATTCGGCAGCAATTTGGCGGCGGGTATGCCGAAGCCGCGGGACCGACGGACCTCCTGCAGGCAGGCCGAAGGCAGCCTGCCTGCTGTGCTTGGGGCAGCAAAAAAGCTAGAGCCGCCCCTGGCCAAACAGCAGACCTTTCACTTTTTGCCTTGAATTTTCCTGGGGTGAAGCAAAAGGCCACCTTTGGTAGCTGCTAAATGTTTTTGCGTGCAGTACGCTCATGAAGCAAAAATGACTCATTTCACAAAGCTCACTCTTTAAAAAAATGCCTTTGAATTGTGTGCTGGCTTGTTGAGACTGTCCACAACAGTGCAGACTACTCAACACTGCTTTGCCAATGTATCTCCATCCTGGCCATCGGAGATTTGCCTCTACCTGCGATAGGGGAGATCAGGCTCCATCCCCAGCAGATCCGGGAAGCCTGACATTAAGACTGCAGATCAGTGACAATTGTGACTTTTTTGTGTGTTCCCCTTGGAATTGAACGGAGACCCCCTCCCATTCACCCCACAGAGGCCACAAAACAGCAATTGGAAAAGGATTCTTAAAAAAAAAAAGCAGTATGTGTGTGTATAAATATTTATATTTTTTTTTTTTTTTTTTTTTTTTTTTTTTTTTTTTTTTATATATATATATTTATATATATAAAATAATTTTTCTATGTACAAATCAAATTGCTTTACAGATCTGGGCAATACCATTATCCCTATTTCAGAGTGGGGAAAAACTAAGAAAGAGAGATGTTAGATGACTTGCCCTTTCAGTTACTCATAATTTTCTCAAACTAATACCACATGATTTTAAATATCCCAGTTCTGGTCTCTACTCAATCATTAATTTCGTTGGTAATTTGGAGCAACATCAGAGGAGTAGAGTAGCAGCTGTGTTAGTCTGTATCCGCAAAAAGAACAGGAGTACTTGTGGGACACCTTTAAATGGTGAGAAACTTTAAAAAAAAAATTTAAAATTATCCCAAGTGCCAGCACTTCAGGGAGAAACCTCCTTCTTGTCTCCCTTCAGCATGGACATAGCACTTCAGAAGGGACTTTAAAAGTTCCTCTTTACTTTAAAAAGTTGAATTGGGAGATGCTTCAATGCTCCCAAACTAGTTGAAGTAAAAATACACTGTGTTGGTAATTCAGTGAACAGAGGGCATGATTTTGTCCCCCAATATGTGCTGTGAGTTCTCTGCCCTTCTCTACTGGCCCTACTTGAGGTGTGGACTTAGCACCAACTCTCTAGTGCCTATGGCAAGTCCTCCTCATGACAAAGGGCGTCTGCAAATCAGTTCCCTGCCACTGAAAAGACCTGAGGCATTAGTACATCTCAGACTCTCCTATTTGCCTGTGGCACACAGCAGTTTAGTCTCTGGAGGGCTGTAATACTCAAGTCTAACGTAGGTTATTGCGCTCAGTGCCAGGGTAATTGGGTGGGATTTAGTGGCTTGTGATGTAGGTTAGACTAAACGACTTGCAAACAGTAGTGGGTATGTCCCCCCACAACCTACTGCACCCCAGACTGGCTATGATCAAAGGGAACCCCCACCTCAATTTATTGTTATTGTGCATAATTTGCTCTCAGCTAGGTATAACAGAACAAGGAGTAATGGTCTCAAGTTCCAGTGGGGGAGGTTTAGGTTGGATATTAGGAAAAGCTTTTTCATTAGGAGGGTGGTGAAGCACTGGAATGGGTTACCTAGGGAGGTGGTGGAATCTCCTTCCTTAGAGGTTTTTAAGGTCAGGCTTGACAAAGCCCTGGCTGGGATGATTTAGTTGGGGATTGGTCCTGCTTTGAGCAGGGGGTTGGACTAGATGACCTCCTGAGGTCCCTTCCAACCCTGATATTCTATGATTTTATGATAACTTCTTGATGTTCTGTGCAGTATTTCACTAACTTCCCTCCCCAGCCCATAGTTCTAGTTTTAGAGTGTTGTGGGCTGGGACAGGTACCTACACAAGCAACAGGATTTTTTCCCTTGCCCCTCAACTCCTCCCCTCCACAGCTGGCTCTGCACAAAAGACACACAGAACCTCTGTTCCCTAAAACAGCTCCCCTCCTCAAATTGTCTCTGCTCAGAAGAAAGATGCACCCCAATCCTCCTAAATTGGCTGTGCTGAAGTAAGACAACACTCAGATCCTCCGTATCAGTGCTCTGAAATCAGGGGGGGGAATTAAAACAAATTTAAAAAATTTTTATTGATTGTGGGAATTAAACTCCAGAGTCGCTAAGAGAAAGCCCCTACTGGCTGCTGGTGTTGGAGACTGTGCCATCCTGGGGAGCTTGTTGCGGTAGTATTTTACACAGGCTGTAGCATCTGTTGTTCCCCAAAATGAAAATCTATAAAAGAAAAATCAAAAGTCTATTGCTCATGAAGAACTTCTGAAGCAAGACTTTACTAGTGAGAAGGGAAGGGCAGGACTGATTCCCATAAAATAAGCAATATAAAAGAATGCATGTTCTAGCTGCAGAAGGGCTCAAGGTGAAACACTTATCCAAAGGAATTATATGCTATAATCTCAGTCACCTAATGGGAGCAAGCCTGGCAAAGAATTCAAAATATTATGCAGGAAAGAATAACATGTCCTGTGAAAAACTCCTGACTAGAAACAAACCCACAAAGCCTGTGTTCAATTGATAGCTACAGCTTTACACTTGACAGATTCGGTTAGCTCCTGTGATGTTCTCCTTTCTAATGTAACAATATTGTTGGTGAGAAGACGCACACAAGAATATTGTTTCAATCATTCATTCAAAGAAAGGGTTTGTTAGCCTTAAATCCTGAATTGCAATGAACAATTTAAGCATTTGTGCCTTGTGAATGTAATGCCATAGGCTTTCAGTGAAGCCACTCCTGATTTAAATCAGCATGAGGGCATAACAACCTGTTGTATGGAGGAGCTAGATCAGTGGTTCTCAAACTTTTGTACTGGTGACCCCTTTCACATAGCAAGCTTCTGAGTGCGACCCTCCTTATAAATTAAAAACACATCTTTATATATTTAACACCATTATAAATGCTGGAGACAAAGTGGGGTTTGGGGTGGAGGCTGACAGCTGACCCTCCATGTAATAACCTCGCGACCCCCTGAGTGGTCCCAGCCCCCGGTTTGAGAACCTTGAGCTAGATAGTTCACAGGATTATTAGTGGGCTACAGAGCTTTCCATCTCTACTTACTGCACTGAATTCAGTCCACCTGTGGAGTGAGTAAGAACTGTAACCATCAGTAATGTGCGGTTGGGCATTAATCCCCTTCCACTTGAAATGTCTAGGTCACCAAAAAAATATCAGACCCTCACAAACACAAGGGACAGTATAATCAACATTTTTAGCAGAGGGACAAAAAATGTTTAGAGGTTGAACTATCTTCTCATTTCTTTAGGGCAGGGACCGCATGTCTTCCTTTGATTGTGTGTAATGCTTAGTGCAGTGGGACTCCTGATCAAAACTGGGGACCTCTGAGTGCTACTGTCATATTAATAGCATGTTTGAAGGCCATCAGAGGGATGCTGTGAAGAAGCTTGTGCTACTGATACCCCTGCTATGCCTGTTCTGTGGATCATTGATTGATTCATTCTCCAGGGGTATCAGTCCAACATCTTTCACCAGCACTACATTTACTTTAGAACTCAATGTAAAAACAAGCATGCTTGGGGAGGGGAGGTGGGGGGCGGGGGGCGTTGGTGGGTTAATATGGCTATGCCATACACAGAAAAGCAAGCTTTCCTATTTGAAAAAATAAGCAAAAATAAAAAGATGAAAATGACTAAATTGTTGTTGTTAATGGGTTCTGTTTCTAATGCTGTGTTGCCCCTGTTAATTGGTCTTGATGACTGTTATCTGCCCTTGCCTTCTGCCTGAGTTGCACAATTCCCATTTTGATCTATTATCTGGTCACAGAGGCTGCAGTAATAGGGAGCAGGGCTTCAGCGCAGCCCTCTGCTTTATAGCACTGGCCTTTGGTATGAAATAAAATAAGATGCCATGTAATGAATGTTCTGAAGCAGTGTTGTAATGTGGCTTAATATGGCTGTGAATAGATGTGTTGGTGTACAGCCGCCCTCATATGAGAGAGCTGGCTGGGCTCTAATTTACTGGTAGAGCAGACGGTTGCCTAGAGCAGCAATACTTTATGATTATGATTCTGCTCTCTCTCTCTCTCTCTCTCTCTCTCCAGTTTTACACTGGTCTAATGCCATTGATTTTAGTGAAGCCACTCCCGATTTAAATCAGTGTGAGGGCAGAATTGGGCCCAATGCTCCGTCTGAGACCCTGGTAGGACCATCTTCCACTATGAAATGTCTTAAGTTCATTTAAGGGCACATAAATATATACATATGTACATTGCTCTTTCCCTGTTTTGCTTGGATATTTTGGATCTTTCTGGTACATCTGACTGCAAGTAATTTCCAAGTGAGATCCAGAACTGATAAAGTGTGGCTCTGGTGACTTTTGAGTGGGGTAGCCTGCCTAAATCACTGCCACATTCTTCCCATAGTAGTCCTTTAAAATTAATAGCACATGCAGAGGAAAAACTAAACCCTTTGACGTCACTCTTGAAATGAGGAAACATAAACAGAGAAGGCTCCACTCCAGTGAGCTGACAGTGCTGAAGCCGATTGGTCTGCTTCTCCTTGCTTGTGGCAGTTGACAGCACCTCCCAGCCGTGCACGGCCTTCTGCTTGCTAACACAGTCAGTCAGACTGCAGCAAGCTCAGCTCTATCCCAGCCTTTGCCTGGGAGAAAAGTGCACTCTCTAGTAGAGAGTCGCTGATCCTTTTGGCTTCTTGGGTTTGTTTGGGTTTCCCCCACACACACACCTTTAGTTGCTGTTGTTACTTAATTATATCCCTAATCCTGGATGCAGTTGCTGGATTCTTCAGTACAAGTCTTCATGAACAAGCTGCACCGCTTAGAGATTTCACGGCATTCAAAGGTCACAGAACTGCCACTATGGTTAAATGTCTTGTTTAATGGTTGAGGTATGTACAGCAAATCTAAAAGAGGCAGCATGGTTTTTTTTTATTATTATTTTTTGTAAGGAGGAACTAAAATTGCAAAGTGGGGGAGGGAGATAATACTTTTATTTAGAGAAAATGATTTTTTTTTTATTAGTGATTGTTACTACAGCAACCGGCTTTTGAATTTCCTCCCTTTTTCTTCAAACCAGCGGGACGTTTTAACTTGTGTTAATTTAACCCTTTGAGGGCAAGAGAAAATGAAAGAGAGGTTCTGTCATTGTGGCACTTTATGACCCCTACTGAGGAAAGTGAGATTGTTTTTCCTGTATGCTGTCCTCAGTCCTACATTAAAATGGCATGAGCAAGACCTTGCAGTTGGTTCACTTTAGTTGGATAAGGGGGCTGAAAAGGAGGACTCAGTCCGTCCCTTGAGGGTGTTTTTGAGTTGGCTTGAGACGAGAGCGGGGGAGGGGGGGATTGGGGACAAATAAATGAAGCAGTGAAGTATATATTCTTTGGGAGTACATGTTCCACTTCATTTTATTACTACATGCTTTGGATGCTTTACTTGCTCTGGGTTTAAAAGTCACAAGTGGAAATGAAGCTCCTGCTTTAACTTATATGCAGAAATGGGGGCAGGGGAAATTGCTTGTGTTCTGTCATCGCCACTTTTCAGATCGCTGTTGCCAGCTAGCTAGAGAAGTGGAAATTTAATTAGAAACTGAACTAACGCAACCTGATGGCTATTTAATGACTTATAGGTTCAATTAATCTTTGGGCAGCCTGTGGTCAAACTTGAATGACTATTGCAGTATTACAGTGAACGGTATGTGCTGCAGGAAACGAGAGCAACAGCTAACATAAAACTAACATTGTTTTCAGGAGCGTGATTCTAGCATGCAAGAGGAGGAGTCACTTAACCAAGGAGCTCTTGTGTGTTTAAAAAAAAAAAAAAAATCCTGTCCAAACAGCCAATCTCTGTTGCTAATTAAATTAAAATGCAGAGTAAATCTATATTCTTTGGTCAGGTCATTGGTAGTAATCTTCAGGTTTTCTCAAGTTATGGAATGGAAGATCATATCAGTCTCTTTGACAATGTTACTGTGTATACAAAAGCTTTTTCTTAATTTCACAAAAAGTACATCTTTTACAATCCGGTCATATAACCAGAAACATCAGCTGAGGACTAGTAGCTCATATAGTGCACTTCAAAGGACTAAGAAAAAAATTAACTGTGCTAGTCTCAAATGCACCAGCTTAAGGACTGCAAAAATATTAGCTCTGAAATGCAGAGGATGTGCTATGTGCTGTGAATGGACAATTGCTATTCTGCAGTGCCTAGTGGGAAAACAAGGACTTTGTGTATTGCAAATGCATAACTGCAGCTCCTCCATTTCCTTTGCTGTATCTTCACTGATAGCTGCAGGAACAAAGAAGGCTGTCATTAATAAACTCTTTAATGCCACATCTCTTTTGAGATGCTGAAGCATCCTTTTTTCCATATCAACCAGCCACCAAAAGTCAAGTGTTACTAGATGAACTGTTACTCTTCCACCACCCCAAAGCTTCAGAAAGCCAAAGCACTATTTCTCCAGGCTAATATTGGGGGAGAGGGAGGCTAGCAAAGTGTAAAATGTGTAGTATAGAATTAAACTGGTTGGTTGAGAGAGAGAGGATGTGTGGGTGGAAGGGGAGAGTCTGAGAATTCTATAAGAAATAGAAAAGTCTCACCTGTCTAAACTACATGAAGAACCCTGGGTCCCCAGGAAGCCATATGCAATGCATCAGTTTGTAATAATTTTATAAATAGGGTAAATTACTTGCTGCTTTTTATAAGACTTTTCCAGCAGGTCTTAATTTTAGTTTATGAAGAAGTGTTAACTACCACAGCATTTTGTGGCACTGTACACGCAGTAGGGCTAATGACAAAGCAGGTAAAGTGCATTTCACGCAAACAGATGACAGTCTGTCACTGAACCTTGTTAATCAAGGCCTAGTTTGGTTAAGGTGCTTCCTCTGAGCATTCTGAATATAGCAGCAAAAACAAGATGAAGACTCAAAGCTAAACTTTCGCGTGACGTATAAAGCTGGCTGCCACGTGCAGGCACGTTGCCCCAGTGAATAAGTCCCAAGAAGGGAGTGAGCTCTAAAAAGTTTTAAGTCACGGGAAAGGCAATTAATTATTATGAGGTTGATTGAATAGGTTGGGCGAGATTAGCACTGGTGTGACTGCAGTGATTTCAGTAGAGTTGGGGCTGAGTACACCAGGACTGAATTTGATCCAATGTGTCAAAGATCAGAGCTACAATGTGAAATTTTGAATCCTGTAAACCTGGCATATAAAATATACTGCATGATGGCAACTGCTTCCTCCCCTAACACCCCCCAAACTTAGATGCCTTTCCCTTGTGAAGCACAGCCCTTGATTTGCCCTTACCATAGCTTTGGCTAGGTTATTGAAGCAGACTGACTTTCCAGTATCTTCATCTCAGTTATAAAATATAAAGGAGACATTTAACAGTGTGTGGTTCCCTTTCTCCACCCCTAGGTTCTTCTACTAATGTTTGAAAAATACTGTAAGAATAAACAATCTGCAAATCGATCTTTCCTGATATTTGAGTATAGTTATACTGTCATTTCGACTCTAACTTGGAAAACTCTCTCTGGACTCATAATTTCCTATACAGCTAGAATTGTACAACAGATGTACCAGATATTAACCACATCATTACTGTCAATGGGTCAAAACCTGAGACCTGCTTATAAGACTCATAAGATTGCCTTGTAAATGGGCTATGCACCTGGCCAGTAGATCCTGAGCATGGTTGTGCTCAGGGAAAAATGAGGGCTTGATGCTGAGCCACTTGGGGTTGATAGGCAGGGACCTCATGTAAATGAGGTCTCTGAGTAACTCACAGTGTATCCTGGTTCCTCTTTCTTCCCTTGTTGTTTCCATGGAAGTTTCTGCAGCCCTCCATATGATTGCCATCTGAGATGTGGGAGTTAGGGTCCTTGGTGTGTTTTAGAACAAAATGAGTCATTTTATGTGGGCATGATAAGATCTTTCTTTCCACTTTCCAATCCCCGGGGGGTGGGGTGGCGGATCACTGTCCCCCACACCGCAAGGCCAAGAGGGGTCTACCATAATAGACTATGGTCAAGCCAACTAGCTTCAGCCAACTCTCTGCTAGAGAACAGAATCGTAACCAAATCCTAGTGAGCCTAATCCTACCTATCACACCAGGAGACATACTAGAAAACTTTAGGTTCATAAAGGGCAATGATAAGAAACAAGGCTCATCCGTCTAGTGCTAAAGCTTTTGTTTTCCCTTTTTAATTCAGAGGTGACAAAGAATTTGATATGAAATATTTTAACCTATCTCCTCTAAGCATGCAAAAAGTGGATTCTGAAATACTATGTGTGTAGTTTTACTCTGCAAACTGTGCTTATAGGCTATCACTTCATTCTCCGGATTGGTGTCATAAGATCATAGAACCGTGTGATTCTGAAGGGACCACAAGCATCATCTAGTCTAATGCCCTGCCAAGATGCAGGATTCGTTGTGTCTAAACCATCCAAGACAGATGGCTATCCAGCCTCCTTTTGAAAACATCCAGTGAAGGAGCTTTCATGACCTCCCTAAGCAGTTTGTACTCCTATGAGGGGGTAAATGTTGAGCGTTATGCTCAGGGAATTAGATGAATTTGGTTCAGGGGTTGAATTTGGTCCACACTGTTGAAAATATGTCTGTTAGCATAATAATACATAGCTCAAATAACATGACTTTATTTGATAATTAATAGTGTAGAATCATCATGAGGACAAGCAACATGTTACAGATTTGTCAACCCTATGCAAGCTTAAAGCTTCACCATTCTGTAAAATTGCTTCTTAGCTTTAGAAATTTTATTCAGCTGATTCAAAGAAAAGTAAATTGGTAATTTAGATAGGATGTGATATTAATGATACTGAGCAGGGACGCAGTGCTTTTTATCCATAGATATTTCAAAGTGTTTCATGGAGTTGAGTAAGCATTTTACCCCCCATTTTATACATGGTAGAACTGAGAAATTGAGGCTCAAATTTTCAAAAGTGGCCTCAAACTTTTAGTGCCTGGTTGTTTGTATGTTTTTTTCTGTGCCTACCTTAAGATACTTTGTATCTAAGGGTGGACAGCCAAAAACTGAGGCACCAAAAGCTAGAGGCCATTTTTATTAGTTTGGCACTGAATATTTTGCCCCTTGTTCCACAGTGCATCAGTGGGAGATTAAAAAATAAAATTCAGGTCTCCTGACACAGTGCCCTAATTTATTATATGATATTTATGAACTTTTGATTCTATCTGAATTGTAAACAAGGCCAGTTTCCTTTGAACTGTTTTGTTCGGATGTCCTTTTTTTATGTCATGCTGTAAATTGTTTGGAACATTGTTCAATTTTATTTTGTCTTACGCTTTGTATTCCAGTAGCACCCAAAAGCCCAAATCAAAAAACATATTAAACTCCCCAAACCTATATTTTGTCTATCTCTTTCATGAAGCTGGGATTCAGCACGTGGATTGCTGGGGTTCAGAGTTCAGGGCCCGCAAGTGAGCAGCTGTTCTGTATTCTGAACGACTTATAGCTCATATACTGACATTGTGAAGTAAACACACAGAGCCAAATACAGACCTAGTGTAAGGGAGTGAATTCCATTGAAGTCAGGCTCATGTTGCAAAATGGTAGTTTGAAAAACCAGTGACAGTCCTCAAAACCCAGTGACCAAATGATCTGGTGGTGCTATTTCATGTACTATATAACATGAGAGATGCTGTCCTTAGACACTGAGGTTGAGAAATCCCCTATGAACAGAATATTTTTTCTCAGGATATGAATAATCTCTTCATGTCATGTTTTATTACATAGTCTTGAACTGATTATAATAAACTCGTCAAAGGAGTCAGCGCTCTGAGTCAGGTCTTATTCCATCCTTCCTCCCAGTGGGAGTTTTGCCTGAGTAAGGATTGATGAGGATGCAGGGC